CCTGGGTAACAAGAGCGAAACTCCGTCTCAAAAAAAAAAAAAAAGAGTTAGATTTGTAACTCAAATGATTTAACAATCTGTAATATGCAAGATAGTATATAGAAAATACTATGAAACCACTATATGGGAAAAATAGATTAAAATAGGGCCATGAAAGGCTAGATTTGTAAAATGCTCTCCGCTGTGACAGCTCTTTTTCATCCTGGGATTCTTCAATAAAAACAGAATCTTTCTAGTCTACGCTTTAAACAGCCTGCCTTTTTAAGCGAATGCTCGTGTTTCTGAGAATGCAGAGGGCAGCAGGGAGGCGAACGGGAAGGAGGAGATGAGTGAGTTACGGGCGTCGCGGGAGTGCTTAGAACTTTTGGCAGACTCGGATGAGTCGAATGCAGCTGGAGATGTAGGAGAGGAGTTTATAGCCGTCTTGGTTGTAATTAAAAGAACGCAGTTGTGCTCTCCAAGTCCTTTATATCCCCAGAAAAGGGAGCACGTGATGACTGCCACCATCTCCCCTTCCTCTGTCTACACGGGAACACAAACCAGCAGAGCCTTGTGCAGTGAACACGCGCTTTCTGGCTTCTACGCTGGTTCTGCCAGTGCCAACAGGAGTGAACACAATGTGACTGTTTTCTGTTTATTTATCTTTGACCAAGCAACTGTTATTTTGGTGGTGGGGGGATCAAGTGGGGCTGTGACTCTTTGCTAAGTCCTCAAGCAGGCAACTGAATACTATCATTGTTGCATACATGAACGATGCAGTGATCACCCTAGCACTGCGGTACGTACTTACATGTACTCTTGCATTTAGTCCGTACGGCAAGCTTAGGAAATAGACATCACCCTCCTTTTACAGATGAAGGAAGAACCTGAGGCTCAATTGTCTTGCCAAAGATCACATAGCTAAAAGTGGCAGGGCAAGAATCGGAAGCCCAGTGTGTCTTATCTCCCAGCCCCAGCCCTTCCCCAGGATGTTCTGCTCTTGACTTGGGGATGAGAAGTTTCCCTGTCCACGAGAGTCACTTGTCCACACTCTCCTCTGTCACCTCCTGCCTGTTGGGTGGCAGAGGCAGCCTCTTCCTTTCTCCTCCCTTTTTCCACATCGGCGTGCACCACTCAGCCTCCGTTCCCTCCCCTGTAGTCTTTAAAGTGGGCTGAGAAGAAGGCCAGGCCACTCACACTGGTTTAGCCAAACCAGTCTGCCCCCAGAGTGAAGGGAGGGGCACCTCTAAAAGGTAACACGTGTTGAGCACTCACTTTGTGCTAAGCTGAGTAGGAACCATAATAAACAATGCAGAAACTAAGGCAGAGAGAGGTTAAGTCATTTGCCCAGGAAGGTGGTGGCTCAGAACCTGCATCTTATCTTAGATGCCATTAAAACAGCCACTTTCTGAAAGGCCCAGTGGTAGCTAGGACAGAGGAGGTGAACAGTCCTTTCTCGGACCTCAGTTCCATCTTTATTTTTTTTTTTTTAAGACAAGAGTCTTACTCTGTCACCCAGGCTGTAATGCAGTGGGCGTGACGTCAGCTCACTGCAACCTCCATCTTCTGGCTTCAAGTGAGTCTCCTGCGTCAGCCTCTGGAGTAGCTGGGATTACAGGTGCCTGTCACCACATTCGGCTAATTTTTGTATTTTTAGTAGAGATGGCGTCTCACCATGTTGGCCAGGCTGGTCTTGAACTCCTGCTCTCAAGTGATCCACCCGCCTCAACCTCTGAAAGTGCTGGGATTACAGGCATGAGCCACCGCACTCAGCCTCAGTTCCATCTTTATAATGTGCTGAGCCCTGAGGTGGGCATTTGGCATTTCCACCATTATCTGATCTGTCCTTGCCGTCAAGCTTGGGAAGTAAGTGTCACTGCCTTCATAGAGTGAATACATAAACTGAGCCCTTGAGAAGAGAGGTGGCCATCCCGGGGTCTCAAGTGTGGGGAAGTGGCCTCAGCTGTCGGCCCCCAGGCACGGGGCTCACTCCTGGGCCCCCTGCTGCCCTCCTGCCCTCAACCCCACCCTGTTGTCCTGCCACCTGACTGTCACCTGCTCTTCCCATTTCTCTTCCACACTTCCCTTTTGACACGTGCTCAGCCCCTCTTACCCCTCTCCTGCCTCTGCTTCTCTTGCACTATCCCTGTACTCACTACTGAGAGGCCCTTCGTTGACATTCTCATTTGACTCAGTTGACATTCTCACTCTCAATGACATTCTCATTTGGAAGCCCCTTTGATGAGGCTTCCAAATCAGTGGTGGCCTCCTGAGAGGCTGTCACGCGCTTGAGCTGTGGGAGGCTTGGAAAGTGTGGGATCCAGGCCCTGCCTCAGGGAGCCCTTGGTCTGCGAGACACGTCATGCTGGCTGCCTGGCCATAGCCAGACGCTCACCCTCTCTGGGCTCTGGAAAATGGCTCGAGGATCTCAGATCCCTGTAGTATCTCCCGACCGGACTCTAATGTTATTATCTGGCGTCATCATGAATAATAAGATTTAAGCAATAGTGCCTACTTATGAATCCAGGGAGTTAGAAAAGTGTCCCGTGGATTGGACTTGTCAGGGGAGGCTTTTCAGAGACTTGAGTGGAATAGGATAAGGACTTGGTGGAGTGGAGACGGGCAGAGTCAGGATTTCCTCATAAAAGTGACTTTCCTTAGCCAGGCGTCTACCATGACACCATGTTTTACTGTGGGTGTGTTTAGACTACCAAGAAGCAGTGCACACTGAAGCACCTCTGGCCAAAGAAATAACTTAAACCAGGCCCGGTGCAGTGACTCACGCCTGTAATCCCAGCACTTTGGGAGGCCGAGGTGGGCAGATCACCAAGGTTGGGAGTTTGAGACCAGCCTGACCAACAAGGAGAAACCCTGTCTCTACTAAAAATACAAAATTAGCCGGTGAGGTGGTGCGTGCCTGTGATCCCAGCTACTCGGGAGACTGAGGCAGGGGAATCGCTTGAACCCAGGACATGGAGGTTGCGATGAGCCGAGACTGCGCCATTGCACTCCAGCCTGGGAGACAGAGGTGGACTCTGTCTCAAAAAAAACGTAAACTTTATTTCTTAAACTTTATTTACGTGTGTGTGCACTTTTTGTAGAGGCTCTTTTTTCGCTGGATTTCTCTAGTTACCCCACATGCTTCCAGAGGCCATGCTCACTCTGTTTCTTGGAAATTCTCCATTCCCTACCAAGATTAATAGTGAGTCAGTTGCAGCTCAGGAGAGCAACATGGATGAAGAGTTCTGACTTAACACTAAATGCAAGTGTGGCGTGTGTGCTAAAATAGGAGGGGCTTGGTATTGCTTCAGACACAATAGGTCTGTTGTAATCTCTTGCGGAGCTGCAGAGTGCTGCACAGCTCTTACCACTGCATTTACCGGCAACTTTCCAGTAACCAGTAACCAGTAAGCAGACCTAGGTTAACTACCCTCCACAGTGGACTTTATAAACCCCTGAGACCGGAGCAGGGGGTCTAGTTTGGTTTCCAATGTTCAGTGTGCCATTTGGGGAGTGTACCATTTATCCTGAACATGCAGTGCCATTTTCTCGTGATGGGTAATCTCAAGCTAGGGGTTATAAGAACTGGAGATACAGGGTCAGGTAAGTTTGAGAAGCACCACATCAAACAAAACAAACAAAACAGACATCTTCCCTACAGGGGCTGCTCTGAGAAGGCTGGAAGTACAGTGTTTTCCAAACTCACTGGACCGTAGCACCCCTTTGTCACAGAGCGATTTGCACAGCGGTTTTGAGCACATTGCTGTGTGGGGTTTCGTCCGTCTTCTCACTTTGAATGCCAGGCCTCACCAAATATGTTTACAACTTTGAGATCATTTAGCCAGACTTGGGAAGCTGTTTCTCCACAGGAAGCTGTACTAGAAGCTGTGCATTACATCTGATAATGCTGTGCAAGCCAGAACTTTTTCTGGAATGTTCCAGAGTCAAATACGCTGTGATGTTTGTGCGGCTTCCCTCCGGCCTCCTCCTTCTTCTCCCCCGTCCTTTTCAGAACTAGTGTGATGACGGAAAGGTGATGGTGCTTGGTCATTCCTGCAAGAGATTTTATGAACCCTTTTCTTTTTAAACACCTGTTCCCAGATTTTGTCGTTCATCAGACTTTGCCCTACCAGTCGGTTTCAGTGGATACGTTCAACTCCAAGAATGATGTGTACGTGGCCATCGCGCAGCCCAGCATGGAGAACTGCATGGTGCTGGAGTGGGACCACATCGAAATGAATTTCCGGAGCTACGACAACATTACAGGTGTGTTGTGGCTTTGATGGGACTTGTTGACCTGATTTCAGCATTGCTGCAAGCTGGTGAGAGGAGGAATACCCTGTGTATCAAGGGCGAGCTCGGCTCTGTAGCTTGGTTGAGCTGGGGAGCACGTCGCAGCCTACCCTCTTGGTCTCTCCAGTTTTTGTCTTGGTGTGGTCAGTTACTGAGAGAGTGGAAACCTCAGGCCGTGTTGCTGCTTATTACTGACGATCATTTTGGAAAGGGAGAGGGTGACGGGTCGCCTGTGGTGGGAGGCGTTTCCTAATAGTGGTGAGAAGTCACACTGAGAATTCCTTGTCCTGAGCTGTATGGCAGACCAAGACTGCATCAGCTTTGTAACAGCTAAATGTTGCTTTGACTTCCATTAAGCTGATTGTTAACTAATATGCTAACACACACACATACACACACACACACACCCTGTAGCTTGTTCCTAGTGCCCTTTGCTAAGTCCTGGTGATCACTGCTTTCTTTTAATAAGTACATACAAGGCCGGGTGTAGTGGCTCACATCTATAATCCCAGCACTTTGAAAGGCCAAGGAGGGCAGATCACGAGATCAAGAGATCAAGACCATCCTGGCCAACATATAGTGAAACCCCATCTCTCCTAAAAATACAAACATTAGCTGGGTGTGGTGGTGTGTGCTGGTAGTCACAGCTACTCAGGAGGCTGAGGCAGGAGAATCACTTAAATCCGGGAGATGAAAGTTGCAGTGAGCTGAGATCGCGCCACTGCACTCCAGCCTAGTGGCAGAGCAAGACGCCATCTCAAAAAAAAAAAAAAAAAGTACATACAAAATAAGAATAAATGGATCCCTAAATGAGGCATGTGGGATATGAATTGGTTAATGCTTCTTTCAGTGCCATCATGGAATACCACTGCCTTAGCGCTACTAAATACGGACTGTGTACTCGCTTTTGAAATAATCTTTGAAAGATTTCTCATTTATCAAAGTGCAATCTGACAATAATTATCACCCAGGAGAGGGTTTCCTTTTGAGGTTCCTGATGCGGCCTTAGAGTAGTTGCAGCAAGAAGCATATTCAGGTAGAATTACTGGGTTGGGAGGCTCCTAAGAGTCTCTCAGGCACCAAGTGGCTTCACGGCAGGTACAGGGATGTGGGGAGGCAGGGAGCGCTGCTAATGAGCCTTATCTCACTGTGTATCTCAGTGTGGGATGTACATCGGATGCTCCGAGGATGCCGTTTCAGATGAGCTGGCCACCGTCGGGCCATCTGGCTTCCCAGTGCTGAGCTCACCTTCCGGAGAGTAGCCCTCTTGGAAGTGCAGACTCAGCACAGAGCGGCACAGGCGAACCTGCCGTGGAAGCCAACAACACGGTAGATGGGGCAGTGAGTCCATGTCCACATGGTTTTGTGCTTCCCTCTTTGTCCTGACATGGAAGGTAGGGGAGGGAAGGATGACCAGCCTCTCTGCCTTTTCTCCCCCTCTCTAGGGTTGGAGATGGGAGCAGAGTGAAGGTTTGTGGTTTTGTTTTGTTTTGTTTTTGAGATAGCCTCTTACTCTATCACCCAGGCCAGAATGCAGTGATGCAGTCTCGGCTCATCACATCCTGGAACTCCTGGGCTCAAGGGATCCTCCTGCCCCAGCCTCCCAAGTAGCTAGGACTACAGGCACATACCACTGCACTCAGCTAATTTTTTTTTTTTTTTTGTAGAGACAGGGTCTCACTACAATGCCCAGGCTGGCCTCAAACTCTTGAGCTCAAGGGATCCTCTTGCCTCAGCCTCCCAAAGTGCTGGGATTACAGGCATGAGCCACTGTACCTGGCTGGGCTTTGCTCTTGGCCAAGGAGTTCCAATGCCGATGTTGGCTGTGAGCCCGTGAGGTGCCAGGCTCTAGTTTATCCCATTGGAAGCTCACAACAGCCCTTGAACTTATACCTGCCCCTATGTTAGAGGACAAAAGCTCTCTTCTCCAGAGAGAGGAGGCGTACAGACAAGAAAGAGCTCAGGTTTTGAAAACTGACGAACACAGATTGTACTCCCAACTCTGCCGTGGACTAGCAAGTACCTGTGCCTTGGAGGCCTGGTTTTCTCATCTGGGAAATGGGGAGTAGATGAGCCTCGGATGGATGTTGTGAGGATTTGCTGAGTGCCCAGAGTAGGCGCTTCTCAAAGCCGCCATCCTTTTCACAACCTTACAAGTGATGAGGTCAAGACGCAGGTGTGTTCAGTCACCCACTGTTTATTCAGGGCAGAGCACGGGGTTTCTCATAGTTGTACACCACTGGTTTTTTCTCCCAGGTTGACCTTGGTCGGACAGCCCTGTCTTTCACCTCCCCTTCTCAGATACTGAAGCTGGTGGCGTTCTTAAATTCATTCATTCATTCACAGAGATTTCTTGAACACTTACTCTGAGCCAGGCATATTCCTGGTGCTGGGGACACCGCAGTGATAAACCAGATAAAACTCTGCCTTCAGGAGTTTCCATTCTAATGGGAGAAAGAGACAAGAAGAAAGGATATTGGTATTGTAATAATTATTGCAAAAATAATTGTAGTATTTAAAAAGCACATCAGGCAGAAACGTGGTAAGGAGGGGAAATGAAGTGAAGAAGGAAGATGTGGAGTACTGTGTGTGGGAGGATTTGAAGGCTTGGGCAGAGTGGCCAGGAGAGGCCTCATCAAGAAGGTGCTACTTGAATAAGACCTGTGGGATCGGAGGGATTGGTCCCCACCATGGAGAGCTGGGGGAAGAGCATTCCAGGCAGAGGGAAAAGCAGGTGCACAAGTCGAGAGGCAGGAGAGCGTCCTTCCTGTTTGAAGAACATCAGGAGGATGGTTTGGCACGAGCAAAATGGGCCAGGGTGGAGTTGCAGTTGATGAGCGGGAAGTCAGAAGGGCGGAAGACGGAGTCTCATAGGTACTAGGAAGGACTTGGCTTTTCCTCAGAGTGTTTTTGTGCAGAGGCAGGAAGATGCAGGTACCTGGCACAGAGGCTGGATTGTGTCCAGCTACCGGGCCAAACATAGCCTTTTGGAGTGAGGGCAAAGGTGGAAACACAGTGACTGGCTAAGAGGCTATGGCAAGAATCTGGAACCCAGGCAAGCGAGGGTGGCCCGGACCCAATGGAGGCCACAGAGCTGGTGGGGAGGAAGTCAGTGCGATCTGAGTGGGTGTGCTTGGGGCCAGAGCCCTGCTGGACCTTGTTCGTTTCCAAGCCTCTCAGTCTCCAAGTCTCAGTCATCCCGCAGCTCGGCGGCCATGACATGAAGCCCACCCGGCTCCTGTTTTCACCATCAAGCCCAAGAAATGAGTTCCAACATCAGACTGGCTTTTCATCCGGCTCCAGCTCTTACTAGCTGGTGGCAATAGCCAAGTGATTTAATGGGCATGAGCCCCTTTCATCTGTAAAGTGAGGATTTTGAGGAATTTCCATTTCATCTGTAAAATGGAATCAGCATAGTATTGGACTTAGGGAAATACTATAAGGATTTTTTTTTTTTTTTTTTTTGATACAGAGTCTCACTCTTGTTGCCCAGGCTGAAGTGCAGTGTTGCCATCTCAGCTCACTGCAACCTCCACCTGCCAGATTCAAGAGATTTTCCTGCCTCATCCTCCCGAGTAGCTGGTGCCACAGGCATGCACCACCACGCCTAGATAATTTTTGTATTTTTAGTAGAGGTGGGGTTTCACCATGTTGGCCAGGCTGGTCTTGAACTCCTGACCTCAGGTGATCCACCCTCTTTGGCCTCCCAAAGTGTCGGGATTACAGGTGCTAGCCAACATGCCTGGCCAATACAATAATGACCTAATGGGGGTAAAATAGGGGCAACCCTCTTTTCCACCCCCACAGACTCTACCGTTTTTGATCTCCATTAAAACTGTTCCACAACTTGCACGAGCGGGGGAATGCAGAGACTGGCAGACTGCCCCGAGGGAGGTAGGAGGCTGTGCTACAGAAGGAAGGGGGATTGCTCCGTGGAGGAAGGAGAGGAGCTGTCTCTCAGTAGCTGGCATTGAGCCTGGCATGAGGGAAAGCCCTATAGCACACATAGGTAGGCCAGGACACTGCCCTGGGCGCCACTGGCCTTAAAGAATAACGAGATAAATGTGGACCATTCTCTCTCCCTGGGCCATGGATACCTCATTTGACATCTTGTTTGGCCATAGGTGGTCCTAGAGTTGGCAAGGGCAGGGCAGGATTTTCTCAATCCATGTACTTCTTCCTTTGCATCCCTGGTGACTATGTTGCAAAAGGGACGGCTCCAGCTGTCCATGTGCCCCCAAGGGAGAGAGAAACCCGTGGTCACTTTCACACTGAGGCTCCTTCCCCTTGTTCTCTCTACACCTCATCTCAGCTTTCTCAAGTTTGGTCTATTTGTTCGCCTGTTGATTTCTGCAGGCTAAGTATGTTCCAACCTGTAATCCCTCTTCACACATACACACACACACACACACACACACACACACACACACACACACACACACACACAATGCTCTGTCTGCTACTGACAACTCCGTAGTCTAAAAGTGTCTACCTGGACAGTGTGTCACAGAGCACCTCCAGGAAAGGTACTCCTTCCGTTTCACGTGGTCTTTTGGCTGTGGCGGGCAGACCTCTAGGATGCTTCTGGAGAGTGGTGGCCTCCGTAGCCGGGTGCTCAGGAAGGGGACGAGGAGCCTGCACTCTCAATTGGTGTTGGTAGGATGAAAATCAATGCTGCTTTGAAGAGCAGTTTGGCAATTAAAACCCAAAAGCTTAAAAACGTACCCAACATTTGCCCCAGCAATTCTTACACTGGAGAATACTGCCAGATGGTATCAAAACATGTTATTTAACAATATTTGAAAAGAAATGTTATTTTACAATAAGGAAAAGCTAGAAATAACTGCAATGTCCAACAGTAGGGCATTAATTAAACAAAATATGGTGCATCCATGTAATGGAATGCTGTGTAGTGCCAAACATATCAGATTGTTGAAGAATCATCAACATGAGGCAATGTTCACAACATGGGCGTCAAGTGAAAAAGGCAGATTATAAAATATCTATGGGCCGGGCACGGTGGCTCACATCTGTAATCCCAGCTCTTTGGGAGGCTGAGGCAGGTGGATCACAAGGTCAAGAGATTGAGACCATCCTGGCCAACATGGTGAAACCCCTCTCTACTAAAAATACAGAAATTAGCTGGGCGTGGTGGTGCATGCTTGTAGTCCCAGCTACCCAGGAGGCTGAGGCACGAGAATCGCTTGAACCTGGGAGGGGGAGGTTGTAGTGAGCTGAGATCTCACCATTGTACTCCACCCTGGAAACAGAGTGAAGTTCTCAAAAAAATAAAATTTAAAAATAAATAAATAAAATATATATGGATAGCATAAGTCCCAATTTTTAAAAAAAGAATATTTGGATATGTGCATAGATTAAAAATTAAACAGTATATCAAGTTATTAAGTGTGATTTCACATTTGTAGTACAACTGGTTTGTATGTTCTTCTCTGTGCTTTTGGTTCCTGGGTGGTAGAGTGTAGACTGAGGCCAAACCACCTGGATTGAAATCTCAGGCTCTACCATGTACTAGCTGTGTGACTTTTTATAAATTACTTAACTCCTCTGTGCCTCAGTTTTACCCTTTGTAAAATGGGGATGATGATGATAAGAATAGTGCATGCCTCATTTAGTTGTTATAAGGATTAACTACGTAACTGCATGTAAAGTGCTTAGAGCAGTGCCTGGTCACACCTACGCGCTTTCTAAGTTTTGCCTCTTGTTATTTTCAGTATTTGCTTTGGTCAACATTTAACACACATACCCTCAGGGAAAAAACAGTGCAATAGTTTTAAACAAGGAAAAGGGATTAGGTCCTTGCAGGAAGGCCAGAATGGTATAGAGGATCTGAAAACCACCCAGTGTCTGCCCTTAAAGCCAATCCTTAGGGTAGAAATGGAATAAAATTATCTGTAGAATTTAGGATTCTGGCCAAATTCACTTGGTCCAAATTACCTAGAAAATTGAAGGAAAGAAATAACCTTTAATGGAATGATCTAGATGGAGGATCAGTAGTCTTATAGGTGGCCCCTTGCTTAGTGGTTGGTCTTCCGGAATGGGGAGGTCTGGGGGGCATCTGGGCACAGGGTGAGAAAAGATGGTGGGAGGTGAGCCAGAGAGGAGAGTCACGACGGAAAATGGTCCCGTCTCTGTAAAGTCTTAGTTTTATGACACCTGAGCTTGGTCATTCAGACGATTGCTCCTTCTCTAGATAGTTATGCGGTGCCCACTATGGGCAAGCACTAAGGGGCAGGGTCTTGTGATTATCATGACATTTGCTTCAGTTGTTCAATAATGATAGCCACTAATGAACCACCACCTCCTGTGTGCCGGTGCTTCATGCTAAATACACTTGCCATGAATGGCTTCATGTCATCATTACAGTCACGTGTAAGATCTGAGCTGGTAGCATCTTTAATCTCATTTTACGAATGAGAAACTGGAGCACAGAGCATTGGGTTAACTGGCACAGGGTCAGAAAGCTTACAAGGTGCAGGGCTGGGTTTTGAACCCTAGGCCACCTGACCTGTATCATGAGGTTTAACCCCCCTCTTTCTGCCGCCACTGGGCTTCCTTTAGCTCTGGAAATCAAAACAGTCCAAATATCTTCATGAACACTCAGAAATCTTTTTTTCTCCTGCCTCTGAGACCTCACTCTTACGTTTTTACCACCCCTTACCCCTCAACCCCACCCCAGGAGAAGAAGCATGTTTAACTGCCTCCTGCCATATGGAGTCAGGAAATACTTTTTTTATTTTTCAAGGATACACATTTTTTTAACTGACAAATAAAAATTGTATGTATTTGTTTGTGTATAACGTCTTGCTTTGAAATATGTCTACATTGTGGAATGCCTAATCAAGCTTATTAATGTAGCTTTATTCAAAAGTATGGCGATAACTCCTTCGGTGCATTAGTGAGTCTCCTGAATTGCATGTCTGCCTCTGAAGACTCCAGAGGCCCTGATGACCTCACTTAGCCATTTTTATGAAAGCACATTTTTGAACAATTGAAATTTTTTTTAATTGTGGCAAAATACACATAGCAAAAAATGGCTAATTAAGCCACTTTTTAATATACTATTCAGTGTGTTAGGTACATTCACATTGTTGTACAACCAGCCTCCAGTTGCTTTTCACCTTGAAAAACTGAGACTCTGTGCCATGAAATGCCAACTCCTCATCTCCCCCATCCCACAGCCCCTGAAATCCACTCCTTTACTTTCTGTCTCTATGCATCTGACAACTCTAGGCACCTCATATAAGTGGAATCATATAGGATTTATCTTTTTGTGACTGGCTATTTTATTTAGCCTAATGCCCTCAAAGTCCTTCCATGTTGTAGCTATATGTCAGAATATTCTTCCTTTTTAGGGCTGAATAATATTCTGTTTTATGTATATGCCACATTTTGTCTATCCATTCATCTTTTGGCTATTGTGAAGGATGACGTTATGGGTTTCTTAGTCTGTTTGGGCTGCTGCAACAGAATACCATAGACTGAGGGCTTATAAGCCACAGAAATTTATTTATCATAGTTCTGGAGCTGAGAAGTCCAAGATCAAGACACTGGCAGATTTGGTGCATGGCAAGAACCCAGTGTGTAGCTGGCCATCTTTTTGCTGTGTCTTTATGTGGTAGAAGGGCAGAGGGAGTTGGAAGGGCACTAATCCCTTTCCTGAGGATTCTGGTCCCATGACCTAATCACCTCCCAAAGGCCCCACCTCCAAATACCATCACGTTGGAGATGAGGTTTCATCATATGTGTTTGGAGAGAGCACAGACATTTGGTCTATACCGTTAGGTGTACAGATAATCTCTTGGAGTCACTGCTGTCAATTATTTCGGGTATATACCAAGAAGTGAAATTGCTGGCTTATAGGGTAATCCCATGTTTAATTGTTCAAGGAAGCACTGTACTGTTTTCTACAGTGGCTGTGCCATTTCACACTCCCGGCAGCAGTGTACAGGAGTACCAGCGGAGGTGCCTTTTTAGCTGGTGTTGCACTAATCTCATGTCCTTTATTTTGGAGCACAGGTCAGTCCATCGTGGGCTGCAAGGCCATTCTCATCGATGATCAGGTCTTTGTGGTGGTGGCCCAGCTCTTCGGCGGCTCTCACATTTACAAATACGACGAGAGCTGGACCAAATTTGTCAAATTCCAGGACATCGAGGTCTCTCGCATTTCCAAGCCCAACGACATCGAACTGTTTCAGATCGACGACGAGACATTCTTTGTCATCGCAGACAGCTCGAAGGCTGGTCTGTCCACAGTTTATAAATGGAACAGCAAAGGATTCTACTCGTACCAGTCTCTGCACGAGTGGTTCAGGGACACAGATGCGGAGTTTGTTGACATCGATGGAAAATCGCATCTCATCTTGTCCAGCCGGTCCCAGGTCCCCATCATCCTCCAGTGGAATAAAAGCTCTAAGAAGTTTGTCCCCCATGGTGACATCCCCAACATGGAGGACGTACTGGCCGTGAAGAGCTTCCGCATGCACAACACCCTCTACCTTTCCCTCACCCGCTTCATCGGGGACTCCCGGGTCATGAGGTGGAACAGTAAGCAGTTCGTGGAGATCCAAGCTCTTCCATCCCGGGGAGCCATGACCCTGCAGCCCTTTTCTTTTAAAGATAATCACTACCTGGCCCTGGGGAGTGACTATACATTCTCTCAGATATACCAGTGGGATAAAGAGAAGCAGTTGTTCAAAAAGTTTAAGGAGATTTATGTGCAGGCACCTCGATCTTTCACAGCTGTCTCCACTGACAGGAGAGATTTCTTTTTTGCATCCAGTTTCAAAGGGAAAACAAAGATTTTTGAACATATCATTGTTGACTTAAGTTTGTGAAGGTGTGGTGGGTGAAATTAAAAGACATGTAGCATTAGCTCTCGCAAGAGAGGACCAAGAGAAATCAACAAACCAGTCAAAGTCAGGCTCGGAGCTCTGAAATTAAAAAGCACTGAAATAGACGTTTTCAAATTTTTAGAACTCACATTTTAATCAGGGATTGCATTTATTGGCTAACTGCATGACATGCCCATTCTACCATTTAAACAAAACATCTTAAAGCTTGTAATTTCTGAGAAAAGAGTACAGCATTTACTCTTCCCATCTAGAAACGTAATATGCTTTTCTTTCCCTTTTTAATGAGGAAGGAGAAAATTGATAAGATGGGACAGCTCTTATGATGAAATAAAAAAAAAAAAAAACCTTGGGCCCCCCTCATTCCACTTTAGTAATCTTTTTGGTTAGAACTCTTAAAGCCAAAAGTCAGCTGGAAAGATTTGCTGATTATTAGTTTAAAAATCTTGTAACACTCAGCAGTGCTATTTTGAGTCATTGCAGCTTCTTGAAAGTAATGCCCGGTCTTCCTGAGTCCTTAATAGCAGAATGTTGGTGATTTTGTTGGCTCCTATGAATGCTTGTCCTGGGTATGTTAACAATTTAATGTTTGGCATTGCTTCCTCTGCCACAGAGAAAATATTCTGGTGACACATGTCTAGACCCAGCACAGGCTGTAGGCCCAGGAGCGAGACAAAGGCGTTTTTTCCTCTTTCCTACCATTCAAAGCTGACCCTTGTGGTGGCCGGAGCAGTAAAGCTTGTGTGATGCTCTTCGTGGCTCATCTGCTTCTCTGAACCCGCCCTTTGAGTCTGTGGGTGACCAGCAGACAGGCCAAAGACCGAATGGTGCTTTTCATTTTGTCCTTTACAGGGATGAAACAGTTATTTCCATCTGATGAGCCTTTGGTAGCATTTTTGAAGTGAGATTTTACGAAGTCAAAGGGGACTTTACACAGATCTCGGCATGCTTTGAAACCTAGAGGTGGCCGTTTGATTTGTGCGTGTCCTTGCCCTCTGGATGACTTAATATTTCAAGTCATCGAATACCAACTTCCCTGCCGGCCCACCTGCCTTCCTCCCCACTTGCGTAACAGTCCTGTTTTGTTGAGTTGCTGCTGTTGCTACTGCCAGAGCAGCCCACACCAAACCACAACCCAAGACACTCAGATAGGAACGCTCCTCCCTCTCCCCGCACTCTACCAAAGGAAACGCTCCAGGACGCACGTGCTCACAGGAGACCATGTGTTGGCTGTGGAGTCAGCCTGTGCAGGCTGGGGGCTCTCAGGCTAATCAGTAGGGACCAGCTTTGGAGCCAGCCAAGCTGAATCCCACACTCCGAGTCTGTGCTCAAGAAACCAGATGGCATATTTCCAAATGGGCCTCTCTGATACACACAATAGGGAAGCTGGTGGGGAACCGTTGTGTGGAAGGTTCTTAGTGGATGTTCTGCCTGGTTAGCTGGTTCTCTTCAGAGAATCTAAAGTGAATGCCTTTGGGGTAGCTCTGGAAGAGAAACCCAACAACTTCACTCCTAGCCATGAAAATAGCACGATCATATTGTACTGTATTGTTATTTTAAAATGATTATTTGCCATGTCATGAGTAGGTAGATGTTTTGCCACAAATATGAATGTGTTTGTTGTTTCCTGACTTTAAGCAATGCAGACGGAGGCAATAAATAGCACTCAGAGAATGAGGCATTGATGTTACTTCAGCACTCTTGGGTATGTTCTGGGTCTACTGTAGGCTGAGGCTTCCAGCCTCAGAAACCGCAGATTTTAATGAACGAACTCACCCACACATAGTAGTGTTGTTACTTGAAACGTCTGCAAAATACCAAGCAAACAGGAGAAAAGTGGTTTGTTTTCATATTTAAGTGCAAATTACTTTCTTCTGCTTTTTCTTTTTTTTTTTTTTTTTTCTGCCTTCTTGGTTTATTTGAACAGGGTACAAATGCCCAGGTCTCCACCTTGGAGGCTGAAAGGGGAAAAGCCCTGCCATTCCTCCAGCCCTAAAGATGGCAAGCTCTTCTTTCTGTTGCATGGAACCCCTCAGATAAACCTGGGCGGAAAAATGGGTACTTGGCAAACTGTAGGAGATATTTAGACAGCCCCAGCAACTGTGTCAGATCAAAGTGATGTTCCCAATTCCAGCCGCCTGTAGGGATGGCAAGGTGGCATCTTTTCACAGTGTTGCCACTGCAGAGAGGTATCACATTCCCAGCTGCACCTCTGAGGGGAAATTGGCCACTGACCCCCTGCACTCACTATTCTGATCATGCCACCAGATTCTGGGAAACCGGGAAACACAGGGCACCGGGCTTAGGATGGGGAGAGTTGTCGAGTCCAGATGGGGAATGAGGGGGTGAAAGAATGATCTAAACAGGTGACGGGTGAGGGCTGAGAAGTGGGGGACCCACTCAACTGCAGTCAGCTTTTCCTTTTTTATAATTTTATTTTATGCAAGACTAAAGCCTCCAATCTATAGAGTGCCTATTTCTGTGGGAGGAGATATTTGTTCTGGCCAACTTACTAAAGGAGCATAGATGCTCTTGGCACAGGGTGGCAAAACCTTTGCTTCGTTAATCTTACTGCTCCGTCCCAAGAATCTCTGAAGTTTTAAACAATTTCTGCAAGAACCATTCTTCCAGTAATAATGTAAAACAAAAAAACCAACCGAGCAAGAGCAAAAGTGCAAAGCAGAGAAATACGTGGACCGTCCCCAGCGGAGATCAGCTTGAAGGAAGGGACAGATCTTTCTTCTGCCTTCCCTCCCATCACCCATTGGGTGGTCATCTGCTCAGCTTGTCTGTTCATGAGCTCTGTGGCTAGGCTCCTGGACTGATCCCTCTGTGCAGCTATGTGGCTTTAAGGCCTTTCTGTAAAGGGGAGACTTGTCCCCATACTCCATAGAGTCAGGAATGAGTCTGTTACCAAGACTCTAAGAATAAACCTTAGATGTGAGGAGCACTGTGTTCTTGGACAGTGGGTAATGAGGCCACCTTACATTTTAGCAAAGCTTTATATTTTTCCAATGCACATTGATATTCACCTCATTTGTTCATAAATAGTTCTGCAGTTTATTGCAGGGCAGTATTATTCTAATTTCAGAGAGAAGGGAATAGACATGAAAACTATATAAATTGCCTGCCCACAGTTATCCAATCGGGACTGGCAAAGCTAGAACTTTTCCTCTGATCAGCAGATGTTGAATTTTCTTTCTAAGACACCTTGCTATACTCTCCCAAAGAAAGACCTTCATTTCTATCATGATTTTGAATTTGGCAGCACCTTGAGATAAAGTAACAAGTGCAGTAAAATATGCATAGCCAGAAGAAAAATCATGCTGAATAGACACCATTCAATCAACCGATCCATTTAACAATGAACAAACATACTATTACATACAAGGCCCCACTCTTGAAAGTCTTCCAGAAATTTTGGTTAGCTTTCTGTTGTTCTAAGGAGGATTTCTAGCTGGTCTGGCTTTTTCTCTCCCTGCATAGCCATGGGAGGGATGTTGAAGTTGAAGCACATCTGGTTCTTGTCACAATGTCCACCAGATAAACAAGAAGAGATCTGTGTAGGAAAAATTCAAACCCTGAACGCACGAGCAGTGATGGATTGCTCTCAGCCATCAACACCCTTCGGGGAGCACACTGAAAATGGCAGAGTTGCATTTTTCTTCCCCATGGAGAGGCTGTGTATTTTTAGGAAAGAAATCAGCGTGGGATGCCGGAGGTTTGACGGCCAGGAACGCTCATGATGGAAATTTCTCCAGCCTGGGATGTAATGACGGGAAGATGACGTTCTGCAGGAGGGGATGTTTGCATGTCACCTAAAGAAAATCTCTTAAGCTGGCTTCCCGATTCTTCCGCAGAGGTATCAGCCTCTCCTTCACAGCTGCGGAAGGAAGTTCTTTAATTAGGCAGTGGTCAAAGATTCTGTTCAACAGCTTCCTGGAGTGGAATACAATAATCTAGTTGTATGCAATGACGCAATGAGAAAGTGGTCCAGATTTGGGTGGCAATGGAAAGGGAATGGCAAAGTGGGGCAGATGGCTCTGGAGGAAGCTTGGGAAAGTAAAAACAAAGTAAAAGAAAGGGGAAAAAGGATAATGATTTCCTTTGCCTCAGCCAGGCAAGCAGAGGGTAGAATGACCAGGAAAATTAACAGCATCTCAGTTATTAACGAAGAGAAGAACTGTAATGCTCATTCAAATAAGAATTATATTGTAAAGCTACTGAGATCTAAAGGAAGTCATTATTATCCTTACTGTATTCCATTGCCTGTAGCAAAACCTATTATCTTCTAGTAGGAAACATTCTCTATCCCTTTGACTATCAGGAAGGTATAAGAATTGTGATAAAATAGGCCAATATGCTATTTGGTACCATTTTTATGTATTTTAAATGCATAACCTAGATAAAATAAGAATAGTTTCTATGTGTAAAGAAGCAAGTTTTACAGTATGCAGACTACAATGGATGTATTTTAGGCTGTATATATATTTAGCTCTTTTTGGTAAATAGAGTGTGCAAACGATATGCCTCTTAATGCAATGTATTCGGTAAGCCTATGAATAAAAAGTGGTTCATGCCTAATATGGCTTTCATCTCTGGTCTGCTTAATATGAATATGTCCACTTGAGTCACAGATTTGCAGGGACACCCATGGGCCAGTGAGGGACAGCAGTATCTCTGCAGCTCACTCTCTGTTTAGATGGAAGGTGACCACTATAAGGGTCTTTTGCTTCTTCTACTCGGAAACTTAAAAACCACCCAAAAGTCACTACAGATTCACTGAAGAGCTTCAGGTTACACTCTGCCTGATCTGTGGAATTATAATCCTGATAGGTTGACAAAGAATTCTAGGAATCTGAATATCTTCCAATTCTGCCAGGTAAGGAGGAAGTGAGATGGTAAGACTTCATTGGTTGGGTTGAACCATCATGGATGCCTGAGGACAGAGCTTTTGTCTTGTCCTCTGCACGTCTGGGGTCTACCCTGGCACACAGTAGGCATGCAGTGTTTGCCACATATATCTTCATCTAACACCCATCTGATTTAGTTGAACAAGTGAAGCCTCAGAAACCCAAATCACATATGACTGTGTACTCACTGTGTGTCAAGTACTTCCATATGCCATGGGGCTTTTGAAAATCTTCAAGAACAAAGTTCTTGCCATCAAGCAACTTAAAATCTATGTAGTTAAGAGGGAAAATAATAAATGCATGATGCTATAGTCAACAATACAAGGTTTAGGTAAAATTCTGTATCACCATCTAGGCACAGTGGCTCACACCTGTAATCCCAGCAATTTGAGAGGCCAAGGTGGGAGGATCACTTGATCTCAGCAGTTGGAGACCAGCTTGGGTCACAAAGAGACTCCATCGCTACAAAAAATACAAAATAGCTGGATGTGGTGGCATGCACCTCTCGTCCCAACTACTCAGGAGGCTGAGGCAGGAGGATCCCTTGAGCTCAGGAGTTTGAGGCTGCAGTGAGCTCTGATCATGTCACTGCACTCCAACCTGGATGACAGAATAAGACCCTCATCTCTAAAAAAGAAAAATCTGCATCACAAAAATCACAAAACAGTGTGTAACTAATTATGCAATGAATGAAACAGTTAGCTGTAATAACCAAAGAGTTCATCACCTTTCTCTATTCTACTGGTTTGAAGCAGGTCAAAGTTTGCGTCCTCAAAGAGAGGAGATTATACAAGAATGTGATTCAGGGGTGCAAGAAGTCACCTGAAGGTGTGTCCACCACAGGCACAACCAAACAGTGTGAATAGACACCAACCATAAGCAACCATCCACCTGGACCTAAGGCATTCCAGTGGAATCTGAGTGCTGATACAGACAATAAATTCATGTGAGGAAAGGTTATGTTAGGTCAGGAGAAGTACCCTTCTAACCATTTTGACGAGAACAGCCTGGTTTCTTTTCATTGTTGTTTTACCATTGAATCATTGTTTTGTGTTTGTGGAGAAATACAGAAAAGAACTAAAGTTTTTCAGACCTGCAAGTCAGAAACTCATCAAAGCAGAGATTAATCCTAATATCTCAGTGCATTTCATCTTGGAACTAAAGTGCTCCGTATAAATTGCGCAGAGCTGACCATGTACCCATTAGTGAGGCAAGTACACTTATTTTCTCTGCGTCTTGGAGAGTAAATTGAGGGCTGAGAAGAATTGGAGGCATAAGTAATGTGTCACTTTCATTGATCTCCTGTCCTTGCAATTGGCTTCTGTACCTGCCTCCCAGACAGATCAACACTTTCCTAACCAGGGTCTAATTGGCACAAATGATTTTTCTCCGACAAATTGGTAGCAAAGCTGAGACAGAAGGCCTGGGACAAACCTTATGCTCTTGGCCTCTGCTCCAGGCAGCCTCTTGCAGAACATGAGTTTCTCCCACTCCTGCCATTAACCAGACAGCAAACCAAAGCAATACAGGGGAAAAGAGGCCAGTAGTCATGGAAAGGCTACCCCAGAATCTCCGGCACCTGCTGGAATCTGTATGTGGGCCCCAAAGAGCATGTTTCTGCACACACCTCCAGGTTTCTACCCCAGAAATCCACACAAAGAGAGAAAATCCAGCTAAGTTATCTTCCTCTTCCAAGAAACAATTGTTAGGGAAGGAGAAACAAGTCTAGATCTCTGTGCCTTATCTCACACCATTCATCAGCCACAGAAAGGATGCAGGGCTCTGATGAGCACCTCCCATTTTGCAGCTAAGAGATTTGAGGTGGTGCTGCCAGCCCGTCCGTTCTGCCATCTCCCTGTTTTCTTTCAAAGGTGGTGTAGGCTGCAGAGCCTATGGAAGTAGGGATGGGACCTCAGAGGAAGTGACACTCTTGATATTTGTCCTGGGCATGGGCTCAACTCTGCTCCCCCTGCTGTGACTCTCTTCTTGTCTCCTGCTTTTGTTTCTCTTAAACTGTCAAAGAGTTCTGGACACATTGTCACTTAAAAATAGTTTTGTTTCATTTTCCTGCCTCTTTGGATGATGGCATCTTAGATTATAAATCACAAGGAAATCCAAATAAACTTTTTGCTTGGGTCTTTCCCACTAATTTTGACTACCTGTTATGTGAACAGTGCGGTAGTAGTACTGAGAATACAAAAGTCTTAAGATACAAAAGTGTTCAAGACCTTATCTTTTAACATAGTGCTTTCTTGCCAGTTTGCATAAAATAGAAATTCACAGAGTGTGAAGGTAACCTGAATAAATAGTATGACCCATGTGATCCAGTCTCTCTACAGTAGAACACTTAACGAAACAGACTCCAAACCAAATAGTCATACAATTAATTCTGATTTTTACCATGCCCTTGAAAGAAGAGAAAAGCCTGTTCACAACCATCCAAACGCTGCCTCTGAAATCCGGTCTCCACCAAGCCTCTTGCTCTCCCACTGCCCACTTCAGTGCCAATCTCTTTCCTCCACTCTTCCACAAAGCTCACCTTTACGTCACCCTCCCATCCACTGGCTGGCTCTCTTCCACATTTCTTCACATCAGTTTTCCTGGGCAGATCATAGAGAGAAAGGAGCTCCAAGTGTTCCAACATTCACGTACTTCATTTTTGCTATTATAAATTCTATAGGTTTTAATATTCTTTGGCTCTGCTTCTCTCTTTCTGCACCATGTGACCTGCAGTAGTTTTGAAATATACTTGCAAATTATTTGGTGCCCCTCCCTTCAAGAGGTGGAGCCCAGTTTCCCTCCCCTGGAGTGTGAGCTTTGCTTAGTGACTTGCTTCTAAGGAGTAGAATGCGGCAAAAGTGTTGGCGTATGACGTCCCAGAATAGGTCTTGGACTGCTCACTTGGAGGGAGGCCAGCCACCATGCTGTGAACATACTCAAGCAGCCTGTTGAGAGGCCCACGTGGGAGGCACTGAGTTCTTCTACCAACAGTCTGCACCATGGGAGTGAACCAGCTTGGAGGTGGATCCGTCGGCCCTGGTCAAGCCTTCAGATGACTGCAGATCTGGTCAATGTCTTGAGTACAACTTCCTGAGAAACTTACGCCACTCCTGGATTCTTGATCCATAGAAACTATGTGAGACAATAAGCTTTTATTGTTTGAGGCTGCTGAGTTATGGGGTAATTTGCTTTGTAGTAATGAGTAACACACCACCACTTTTACTGTCTTATAGGAATGAGGTTGCTGCCAAATGGGTCTATTAATTTGAGAAAGAACTAACACATCCACATACCACACTATGACATGGCACCACACACACACACACACACACACACACACACACACACGCAATGTTTAAGGGAGAGAAGTCATTTCCACAAATAATTTATGCACCCAGGTGAGTAAACAATTATGTTGAAATTGAAAAGAAGAAACAATCAATTTAGCTGAAAAATCAAGGGAGATTTCTTGAAGGGATTTCAGCAGAGTCTTGACTGGGGATTGAATGTTGAAGAGGAATGTTGTCACCTTAACTTCCTTAATTACAGCCAAAAAGACTTATTAGTGATCATAAGGTCTCCTCGGCAGTGTTTGGAGGGTTATGGCTGACCAGGAGGAAGATGGCAATGCTCCGAAGACTATCCATGATACCTCAGAGACATCTTTGTCACCTACTGGGATAGCCCTGTCACAAGCCCCGATTCTCTGCCTGAATACTGCAGCCCTTGAGAAGCAGGAAACATACCATAATAGCACCCTTTATGATGGATAAGGTTACATTGGAAACTGCAACTACTTATCTGCGTGCAGATGGGTTTCCTAACACTGATCCCTGAAACACACGTTTTGACATACTGTACCTGGTCACATATTTGCAGTGTGGAGGAGCAGATGAACGTTTGTGCTTGGCAGACAACCGGAGGGAGAGGGTGAGATCTGTTTTAGTGTGTCCAGTTTCTGGTCCTAATTCACCAATCTTCTTAGAATAGTGCATCTCATTGAGGCTGGAGAGTGAGGCCTGCAGACTAGTGCCAGGATTACTGTGCTCCTGGGTTCCCTCCACAGGGAAGGAGACATCAGGAGTAGGAATCAAGCCTTTTCTCTAACATCAGCTACTCAGGACAATGCAATGCTTCGTATCCTTGCGTGGATCCGGGGAGCTCAGGCTCCTTCTTCCCTAACTCTGTTTGCAAGTTATACACAGAGACCAAGAGAATATATTTTTAACCACTTGGAAAAGATCTTTCTTGTATGAAACAGACCAGAAAAAGGAAATTTGGCAGCACCGAGAGAGGATCTTTCTGCAGTGCAGGTGATGAGAAAGGACTTGGTGTCATTCAGCAAAGCTCTGTTCTCCACACACTCCCTTTTAGGTTTTTTATTTGGTATTTTATCAGCTTTTCACATTGAATAGCACTGACTATAGTGAAATATAATGTCATTCTGGGGTCCTGAAAAAAGAAGCAGGTCAACTTTACATTTCTTTCATTAACATAGAAAGTCAGGAGAATTTTCTGGTGTTTCATATTTTCAGCGAAGTGGAGTATCTGCTCTACTTACTAAAAATGACACTCCACCTCCCATTTCCATCTGCATTTACGTTCTGCACATACTGCTGAAGTAGCTTTTTCCTCCTTATGTTTACTGCCAATGCATTTGCATTTTCTGTCGCAATAAATAACCCAGTAAAACTCTCCAATGGTAGGTTCTAGCCTGGCTCTTTCTAAGCATGGAATCATAGGCAATGATTTATAGTCATGCTGGCCCAGAGGAAGGAAAAAAAATGGATATTTGTAAAGGAAAAGTAAGTGAGTTCAAACAAATGCTCTCTGAGCTCTTAGAAAATTAAAGATGTGAAATTAACACGAAATTTTCTATGACCATAGAAGTTATGGGTTGGGGTGGGAGGCAAGGCAGAGGAAGCTCTCATTTCAGAGGCTCCATTTGTGGGAGTCACCACTCTCCCCGGAATGTCTGGCCCCAAAGTGTACCTCAATTAATGTTTGCTAAAGGGATACTGATTGAATGATTGGTTGGCATTTGCAGAGTGCCTGGCACCAGGAAAGTGTTATATACCTTAACTCATTTATTCTCAGGACTCTTCACAAAGCAGCACTTTCATATCCCCATTTGACAGAGGTGGTAATGGAGGCACAAAGAAGTTGAGAGCTTCCCTGGGTCACACAGCTAAAGAGTGGCGAAGCCAGGAAAACAGGGCCCAGGGTGGTTAGACAACTCCCTCAAGTTTGCACAGCCAATAAGACCAAAACAGAGAAAACAATAATCATAGCTAACCCTTCTGCAGCCCTAGCCCAGAGCCAGGTGCTGTTCTAAAGGCTTTATAGCTATTATCTCAGTTGGTCCTCACAGATTCTGGGAGACAGATCCGATCATTATCTCCATTTTATAAATGAATCAACAGAGGCACAGAGAAGTCAAGGAACTTGTCTGGAGTCACACAGCCAGCAGGAAGAGGAGCTTGGGCTTAAACCCAGGAAAATCTGCCACCAGAGGGTGTACCCTTATCCACCAGGCTCCCCTCCCTTTTTAATCCATAAATATGCAAAAACCCTCAGTGTTGTTAAGTGCCAAGTGCTGATCCAGATGTGTTTGACTCCAGAGCCCATGTTTTGTTATGTAATCCCATTCCAAGGAGAGCATGAGCATGTGGTAGTGGGGTGAGGGGTAAGGGACCACAGAAGGGGGAGGGGGTCTGTTTTGCTGCATGGGTCAGTCATATGAGAAGCTGGATAGGCCATTCTTCATGAAGGGCTCCCTAAGCCCAGCCTTTTCTGCTGACCACCCACTTACCCATGAGCAGCCAGTAGTCACTGATGTGGAGCTCTCTCGTGTGCCACCAGCCAGCCACTCTATCTGGAGCTTAAGACATGGAGGGGCGGGATCAGGTCTGAGTCTGGGAATAGCTCAGGGGCCTGAATCCTTTGGAGCCTCTCACTCTAACCCCCTCATGTTCTAGGTAGGAGGCGGAGGCCCAAAGATGACGTTTCTTGCCTAAGGGGGGCAGAGCTAGCACCTTCCTGCTTGTGCTTTGTCTTCACAGTGGAAGGTGATGGACATGGTACCACCTTGGAATCTGCAGCTTGAACCATCTGAGTCTCAAGTAATCAAAACTGTAAAAGCCCATGACCTTGTGATTTACAGAAGCACAGCTAGGAGACCTGCGAGGCTGTGGCTTCTTGAATGGGGATGGGCCAGCCTGTTTCAACACCTCCATCTTCCCTTGGGGCTCTTGTTCTCTACACAGTAGAAACGCTAACGTGAGAGCTGTGCACGTTAGGAAGGTGACGCAAAGGTGGAGTTTACGGCAGACCCTGCGTTAATTGCTCTAATGCGCTTTCCTGCATTTTTGTATTTTGTTGGAGAAATCTCTTCCTCCCCTCCCTTCCTGCCTTCCACAAATATTTGTTGACATCTGGCTATATGTTACACACTGTGCCAAGCAGTGGGCAGTCAGTGTTTTAAAAAAAGGCACAGTTCCTGCTTACGTGAAGCTATCTACCATGATACTCAGATATTAAGTGGCTCCTTACAGCCTTTGGTCATATCTAAATGTGATGGGCCTACACAGTGATTTGTCAGTTTTTGAAGGATCAACTTTTGATAAGCCAAACAAAGTCATGAACTGTCTCAGCTGAAAAAATTAAAAGTGTATTTCCATTTATAAATATGTCTAGATTCTGACCACGTTCACTCTGGCCCATGTCACCATGGTTTCCCACCTTGATTACTGTCAAGGCTGCCACACTGGGCCCCCTGCTGCCTCCCTGACTCCTCCTTGTCTGTTTTCTACTTTGTGGTTGGAGGGATCCTTTTAAAGTGTAAGGCAGATCAGGTGGCTCAGGAAAAGTCAGGGCTTTCCATCACTCACAGAGCCAGAGCCAAATTTCTGCAATAGCGTACAAAAACCTAAACTGCTCTTTCTGTCTTTGTTTCTCTGACACACACACACACACACACACACACACACACACACACACACACACCCTCTCTGACCTCATCTCCTAAACTATTTCCTTTGCTTGCTTGGCTATAGCCACTCCAGCCTTGTCCTTGTTATTCCTCGAATGTTCCTTAGGTATAGAAGAGCAAAAGATGAAAGAGGAAAAGAACCTGGATCCTGAATGACCACATGGAGCAGAGCTGCCCCACCAGCCTGGATGGTCACCTCTAGACTGTTAACAGGAGAGAGAAATATACTTCTGTCTTATTTAAGGCAATATATTTTGGGTCTCTTTGTTATTATGTAGTCTATATTCAACCCAAAGGACGGCACATAAAGGCCAAATCTGTTTCTCTGTATGCCTTTATAAATAAAGTTTTATTGGAATTCAGCCTCACACATCCACTTATGTATTGTCTGTGGCTGCTTTTGTGCTTCAGTGGCAGAGTTGAGCAGAAGCAATAGAGATTCTATGACTCCAAGCCTAAAATATTTATTCTCTAGCTTTTCACAGAAAATATATGCTGGCCTCTCTTCTAAACAATATAAATCTGTTATTTTCATTTTTCACGTGGAAGTAAGAGTCAAAGAGAGAGTAGCTCAGCTGGCTTCAAACCCAGAACGGCTGGACTTCCCTATTCAGAGCAAATAGTGTCTTAAATGCACCAGGCTAAGAAATGAAGTCAAGCCATACATTTAGTCACACTCCATTCAAACATGCAAAAAATTAAGCTGCTGTATTTTTTTGTCTAATTGACCTAATTTTTTACTGGACTCCCTAGCACTGGATAGTAAGTAAACCATGCATAGACCAACCCACTAATGTTAATGTAATCTAACAATTTC